GCTGTGTCCTGCTGCCACAAGGGATGAGAGGTGAGCCCCTGGAAGTGATGGGAACATGTTAGGGGATGTAACCCCACGCCAACAGCACGGGGCACACAAACAACCACTTGCATCCTCTTATTTTACTGTTGTGCTGTGATTGCGGGAGGAAAGAAGACCTTGCATGTTTTCAGCCTTCTGCCTGATTGTTGAATCCTGGTTGTGATTTGTAGGGTAATAGGTGAGGCTGTGTTTTGGGGATAGCTGGGACAGCACTGGGGCTGTGTGATTTGTGTGTCTGTACAGCCCTCAGCTGTTGTTTGAGGTGGTGAGGGGGGAGCTTGATCATCCGCAGTGGCCTCTGGAAATAAAACGTGGTTCTCTGCTCACCCCCCGCTCCTGGTCAGAAGCAGCAGATTTCAGTGGATAAATCATGTGGAAGTGTGTTTTGGTTTGTGTTGCTGTGTTGTAAAGAGTGCAGAGAGGTGAGAATTTTGTGTGATTAAAGCAGCCGATGTTAAATAAGGGCAGATACATAGAAATACGTGCTCTCTGCTGGTGGCTTTTGCCACCTGTCCTTGGGACTCACCTTATCCCATGGCAGAGTTCTTCCAGGTCCTTCCATGCCCAATGAGAGCAGGGCCTAGCAGTAATTTGTAGTATGGTTCAAAAAACTCTTTTTGTGATGTTTCCCACGTAGGAAATGGTTTTGGAGCTGCAGAAGCTGGCGCGGAGGGACCACAGCGCCTTGGACTGCTGCATCGTGGTCATCCTTTCCCATGGCTGTCAGGTGGGTTCATCCCATCTCTCCCTTTTTTCCTCAGGCGTGGAAGGGAGGTCTCATGCAGGGCAGGAGGGAAGAAGTGGTCTGTCATTGCAGCCTTGTATCTGGGTTAAAGAAAATAGGAGCTTCTCCGGTGTAGTCTGATCCAGTGTTGCCTGTGGACAAGTGTTTCTGTTGGGAAGTCGGGGCAAATAATTTGGAACTGAACAACTGGCAGAGAGTGAAGAGAGTATGCTCAGCCTCGTACTGTGGTTGTTCACAGAATCATGGAATATCCTGAATTAGAAGGGACACACAGGGATCATTGAGTCCAACTCCTGGCCCTGCACGGACACCCCAACAATTCCACCCTGTCCCTGAGAGCATTGCCCAAATGCTCCTTATCCTCTGGCATCTTGGGGCTGGGCCTGAGGAGCCTGTTCCAGTGCCCAACCACCCTCTGGGTGAAGAACTTTTCCTGATATCCAACCTAAACCTTTCCTGATACAGCTTCGTGCCATTAGTTAGTCCTTCCAGTTCCTCCAGCTCTGATGGGGAGATTCTATGAGCAGTAAAGCCTGTTTATTCCCAGTCAGAGCTCTTGAAGGATAAGGAGAGGAGAGGGAATGTTAAGAAAATGGTGTATGGTACATGCCTGTTGTCCCAGAGGATGAAGAACTCGGTTGCTGGAGGAGGTGGGATAGGAGTTGGATAATAGAAGTTGGATTGCTGGATTTTAGTGTGTTCCAAATGACTTCTGGGTGTCCCCTCGCCCTGACTTGGCCACAGGAATTTTCACAACCACCAGGATTTGTTGTGGCCACAAAAGACCCAGTGGGAAATGGGCTCCCTCATCACCAGCCCTCCACCCCCATTACTAGCTCCTGCATTTTCCTCTTGCAGACGAGCCATATTCAGTTTCCTGGAGGCGTTTACGGAACGGATGGAAAACCCATTCCCATAGAAAAGATTGTGAACTATTTCAATGGGTCCAATTGCCCAAGTTTGAGAGGAAAACCCAAACTCTTCTTCATCCAGGCCTGTGGTGGAGGTGAATCTTTGTCTTGGCTCCGGTAGCACTGGGCTTTGGAGATATGGTTAGGCTGTGGCTTTGATTCCCGTTCTGTTGGTTGCCTGTCTCTCTCTCCAGCTGTCTTCTCACTCCAGCTGTCCCTTCTTTTACCATATACTGAGTGGCTGCTCCAGCTCTTCGGCCATGAGGTTGGTGTGGAAACACGAAGTGAGGAATTTTGTATGAAACACCAATGGCTGCAAATCGACCAGCGCAGCCAAAAAGCCTTGTTTTGTTCTAGAGCCTTTGTCCTTTTCTTTCGCCATTTTTTTCTTAACGTTGGATGTACAATTGTGGATCCCTTGGGTGGGGTGAACATCAGGAACTGTCTCACTGCTGCTTTTTGCAGAACAAAAAGATCGAGGCTTCGTAGTGGATTGCGATTCACCCGAAGATGAAACTCCTGGAGCTTCTTTGGAATCAGATGCGACTCCTTTTCGGGCTCCGTCGGGTAATGTGGATGAGCCAGATGCCATTGCCTGTTTGCCCACACCCAGCGACATCTTGGTCTCCTACTCAACTTTTCCAGGTGACAGTACTTTGCTGGGCACAGGGGAATTAGCAGAAAAGTCAGAGCTTCATAGCCAAAGTCAGCAGCAGTTCAGGGCAACAGCTCCATTGGGGCGGCAGGAACTGAGCAGGATGAGAACAGAGATGGGCTTTGGCCTAACATTCTCCTTTCTCTGAAGGTTTTGTCTCCTGGAGGGAGGCGACTGGCTCGTGGTACGTGGAGACACTGGACAGTGTGCTGGAGAGATATGCCCCTTCAGAAGACCTGCTGAACATGTTACTGCGGGTAAATGTCTTTTTTTTGCCTTCTTTTTGTGGTCGTGATGAAGGAAATAGTCAGGAATGTGATTAGTCAGGGTGTGGAGGCCTACAATTAAAAAAAGAATGAGGATATTGAGTGTTGACTTTAGGGATGGGCTAATTGGAGGTACTGCAGAGAGATTTAATTACGAAGAAAGTGTCTGGCCTCAATCTGCCAAAAATCACCATGAGGTTTCTCCAGCGAGGGGTAATCCTGGCAATACAGGCTTTAATCTTTCCAAGGAAGTTGCTTAAAATGGTGCAGCTTGTCCCATCCTCTAAATCCAAGCTGATGGGACTTGGGTGCTGTCAGGAGCGTGTTCTGGGGCTGGTGGATGGGGTTTGGATGTCATTGTGCTGCTTCAGCAGTTAGCAACTGCAAGGGAAAAGCACGAGCCCCTCTCTGCTGGCTGGTGTTCAGTGTAAGGAAACCACCTTGGGGAAGTGACAGGCATGACTGGAAGAAAATGGGTAGAAAGGAATTTGCTTTTAATTGAATTCCCAAAGGGAAGGAGGGAGTTCTGGCTCATACCAAGAAGCACCTGCCAGAGGCAGGGGTTGGTGGTATGGCTGAGGTTTCTTGAAAGCATGTTCCCCTGAGTTCACTTTGCCTTTGCCAGCAAAAATGTCTCATATTAAGAGCCCTGCCATCTCTCATGTCCATAGTCCCATTCCTGACCCCGGTTCCCAAGTTTCCTACAACAGTCAGGAGAGCATCTGCTCCCCAACCACTCTCCCTCTGTTCTCAGGTGGCAAACGCTGTCTCAGCCAAGGGGAGCTACAAGCAGATCCCAGGATGTTTCAACTTCCTCCGTAAAAAATTCTACTTCATGTGTGACTGACACTGGGGCTCCGAGGTCCCTGCCCAGTGTGAGAGTTCCTTCCCTGGGGCCGGGTGAAATCTGTGCTTGCCACGACTCGGCGTCGATGCTCCCGTGGATTTTGTCTGTCTCTCGAGATATTTGTCTGGAGAAATGTGATCTGCGAACACTGTCCTTGCTGTGAAGTTGGGCTGAGGTGGAGATCGTGCTGTGCCCATGGGATTGGAGCAGGAAGCCCCTTTTCTGGGGTACATGCCGGCCTGGAGCCTCCAGAGCCAGAGGAGAGCACCTCTGGCTCTTCACGTGGCCACACTCGGTCTCAGAGTGTTTTTCCTTGCTGATTCTGATATTTGTGTCCTCTGCTGCCCGGGTGACTGATTGATGGGATCAAGTTTGGCCCTAGGTGTACTGGGATGAGTTTTGCCATCAGTGTTTCTAATAAATGCAATGAAAAAGCAAATCTTTTGCTGTATTCTCTCCTCTGTTCCATCTCCTGATTGCCATTTTAGGACATTCCAAAGGCTCCTCTGAAATGGGAAGAGCAGGAGGACCTTAGCTCATGTAAATTTTTAACCCCTGCTGTTACTGGGAGAGTTTCTAGTGTGGCTGTGCCAGCCTGTGGAGCAGGCATCCTCCTCCTTCTGAGGAATCAGTTGGGTGTTAAACAGGAGATACAGCAGGAAACTGATGAGGATTCTTTGGAATATCAGAGCTGAGGTAAATACTTGCCCTCAGGAGCTGCTGCAGTGACTGTTTCAGGTCAGAAACCCTGGATGTGTGTGGGATTTTGGGGGAAAAGGAATCCTCAGAGCAGCTCTCAGGAGGTGCAGCAGTCTTAGGGGAGGTGTGTGCTGCTCAGGGGCAGTCAGTAGGTATTTCCATGTTTCTTCTTTGGGAAGCATTTCTGATACTTCTAGGCAGTTTTGTGCCACAGGCAGAGCAATTCCCAGCCTGGGGTTTGGGTTTTGGTGAAGGGATGGCTGGGAGTTAGGAGCAGAGGGCAGGGAGCAGGATGGTGAGGGAACTGCCTGCCCCAAGTGAGGGGAATTGGGGGCAGGCTCAGGTTGAGCCAATTAGGGTGATGCTGGGGGTTGAAAGGCCATGGCCAGAGTGAGACAGAGAAGACCAGCTTTCTGTTCTGGTCTCTTTTCTGGTCTCAAATCCTTGTGGTGAAGCCAGAAAACTTGGCTGGGAACTGCCAATGCCCATTGTTTGCACTGCTGGGGTAAGTGAAGCTGTTTTTAGGTACCACTGGATTGCAGCATCCTGCTGGAGATCTATCTCACTATGACCCCCCAGGACCATCCAGCCAGACTCCAGCCCCTCTCCCATCAAACCACCAGCCAAACCTCGAGCCCTTGGGCTTGACGATGGCCATGGCTCTGCCCCCACCTGAGCACTTTGTGGGATTTCTGACCACCCCAGCCTCCCCAGGACCGATGCACGATGGGGGGGACTCTCCCCAGCACAGGGGCAGAACCCCAGGACCACAGGACACAGCCCTGGGTTTCAGTTCCACCACAACCCCTCCAAAGAACCACACAAGACCAGTTCAGCACTTTTGCCTTTATCACACTCAACACTTGTATCTCCACGTGCCAAGTCCTCAGTTGGAGCTCATTTTCTGCCAAAGACAAGACACAGGGGGGCCCACGGTGAGACCCTCGGCGGGGCAGGGGCAGCGTGGCCAACCCCTGTGCGGGGGCAGAGGAAGGGGCACCCACCTCGTTGAGCCAGTCGATGTAGGCGGACACGCGGGTGAACACCGTGGGCTTCCTGATCATGTTGCAGCTCAGCCCGGAGCCGAAGCTGACGATCCCTTCCACCTCCCAGATCCCGTCCTCGCGCTGGCAGTTCAGGGGGCCGCCGGAATCGCCCTGCACGGAGAGGTATGTGCTGCACACCCAGCGCTCCTGGGCTCCCCACTGACACACCCCTGGCCATCCACCACCACGGCTCCATCCCTTCCCCTCCTGTGCTTCCCATGGGAGCTGTGGTCCTACACCACGCCGGCACCCCTGCCAACCAACCCATCCCCCTGTGCTGGGGGCAGGTACCGCCCAGAAGTGCCGGCACTCACATTGCAGCCAGAGACGACACCATCACCACCAGCACACACCATGGTGGTGCGCACGGTGCTGCCCCACCAGTTCCACTGCGAGCAGGTCTCGTAGTCCACCACGGGCAGCAGAGCCTGCTGCAGGACATCGGCCAGGGGCCCGTTGGCTGTAATGACATGCAAACCTCGTACCTCACAAACCCTGTGCCTGCACCCCCTCCCCAGGGACCCTCTGGGGACCCCCTGCTTACTCCTGATGCGTCCCCAGCCAGTGACGTAGCAGGGGTAGTCGTTGGGCAGGATCTTGTCGGCGTCAGGCAGGCAGGCAGCCCGGATGGTATCGCTCTCCTGCACTTCCTCCTCCAGCTTGACCAGGGCGATGTCGTTGCTGTGGGGACAGATGAGGCATGAGGATCGGTCCTGGGCTGTGGGATTGGAGGTCCCTGGCAGCAACACCCTCCATCCACCTCTAACATATCCCATCCCCTACATGATGAGGAAGGAGTTCCACTTCTCATGGACAATCGTCTTCTCCACACCCACGGCCACCGAGCCGGGCTCGTCATCCACCGACAGGTCCTGCTTGCCCAGCACCACACGGTACGTCAATGAAGAGCTGCCCAGGGAAAAAAGCAGGGTGTCAGTCCCCACAAATGCCTTACCTCCATGGCACAGACCTCACCCAGCACCCTGACACCCACCTGATGCAGTGGGCGGCCGTCAGCACCCACTGAGGGGCAATCAGGGTCCCGCCACAAGTGTGATACCAAGATCCAGAGCTCTTGTACTGCAGCGAGATCTGCGATGGCAGGGGCACAGGGTCAGAGCAGGAATGTCCCCACCCCTGTCCCCACCCCCATCCCTGTGCCCCCCTTACCTGCCAGGGCCAGCTGTGGGCTACGGCGTCTTCACCGCCCACCACGCGGGTGCCCAGCTGTGGTGGCACGGCCGGCTGGCCGCATCCGTAGGCTGTGTGACACCCGGAACAGGGATATCAGAGGCTGCCTGAGCCCATGCCCAGGGCCATGGCAGGCACCAGGGTCCCTTTCTCCCCCTGCCTTGTCCCCTCCCCATCCCCTGCACTCACCGTAGCCCAGCAGCACGACGAGACAGATGGCTCCCAGCATGGTTGTGCTTGACCAAAGGTGCTGCACTGGGGCTGCTCAGCCTTCTTATAGGGCCTGGGGACCTTGGAGTGGCCCCTCCTGCCGCTGCCATGTGGGGACTCTCCCACGCTGGGGGCACGGGGTTCCTCAGCCCCATCGCCCCATCTTATCACACTCCCTGTCCTGCCTGGGAACGGCCACATCTGCCCATGGTGTGCTGGCACCCTGATGGGACGTGGCAGAGACACCTGGCCCTGCTCTGGGATGGGCAGGGTCCCTCCTGGGGGGCAGCTGGTGGGTGCCCCATCCACACTGCTCTCTGTGGGGTGCTGGTCAGCCCTGCTGTACCCCAAACTCGAGCACCATCTGCCCCAGGGCACAGCCCCCCACACCACCACCCCTCAGGGACAAGGTCCCGTTATCTCATGCTCGACATGGCCAAGACCAGCCAAACCCCACAGGTGCCACAGGGTTGCTCAGGGGGCAGGTGCCAGCAGTGGTGCTGATGGCCTTCGAGAGCACCATGTCCCCACACCTGCTGCTTCCCATGCCAATGTTCCCACATTGCCAAGCCTCACCCCCATTCCCTGCCACCTCCTGCAGTGGCCACCTGGTGCCCACAGTCACACCCCATTCCCCAGGCTCCTTCCCCCCACCCAAGCCCCCACCACAGACATGCCCGTCCCACGGCTGCAACCACAGCACCCAGCACTTAAGAAATATAATATTTATTTGGGATTAAATTAAAAAAAACATAACACACCCCCTATATCGCCACTTGGGGGACAGTGTGGGACAAATGTGGGTCTTTACAGTCACCCACCAACACAGGAGCCTCGATGATGATGATGGCAACCACTTGTGGCCACCACGCTCACCCTCCCAGACTGAATACAACATGAAAAAACATAATACAGCCCCACGAGCCAGCAGCTGCCTTTCTGTATGTCTTCAACCAAAACAAAGAGAGACACAGCTCCTGGGGGCTCCATGCCAGTAGGGTGGGCACCCACCCCCCAGCACCACACACACACACACACACACACACACACACACACACACAGAGCCCGTCTGCCAGCACCTGGCCCTCGCCACGGCCTTTGTCACCCGTGTCACACGTGGCAATACCGACAGACACTGAGCCAGCGCGGCCACCACAACACCCACCATGGCCACCTGGGCAAGCCCCCATCCTGCAAACCTCCCATTGCACACACAGCAGACAACAGTCCAGGCACAGGTGTCCCAGGGACGGGCATTCTGGACACGGCTCCCCTGGGACTCAGCAGCAGCAACCCCCGGCGCAGCTGCGGGCACGGAACAGGGGCTGCTCAGGGTGGGGGGCATGCTGGGGATGGGAGGGGGGCACGAACAACACCTACAGACACCACAGCAAGAGGGGAGGGGGGAGCTGGGGCCGACCGGGCTCTGCCAGCAAGGTGGGCGCTGTGCCGAGCCCGCGCCGGGACCTCGTTGGCAGCCGGAGCAGCACGTGGCTCTGGAGCAGCACGTGGCTCTGGAGCAGCACGTGGCTCTGGCATCGCTCCCGGCGCGGTTGTCACGTGGCACACGCAGCGTTCCCAGCCCGGGCACCGCTGACCAGTCCTGCCCAGCCCCGTCACTGCGTGAAGGTGGACTGCAGCTCCTTGAAGGCCGCCTTCCTCTGCTTCAGCTCCTCCGCCTGCTTCTTCTTCTCCTCCTGCTCCGCCCTGATCTCCTCCTCGAAGCGGCTGGCTTCGTTGATGGCTTGTGCCTGCGGATGGACATGTCCAGCTGGGACAAGCCCTCCTGCACACCCCAACATCTCCACCTCCCACCCGCCCATCACCCGGTACCAAACTGCCCTCATGCATCACCGTCCTGCAGTGGGACCCCTCTGCCCAGCACCTGCCTCACCTTGGCCTCGAAGAAGTTCTTGGCGCCTTTCACCCCCTCCGTGGAGACGTCGATCTCGGAGAGCCGGGCCAGGGCGTGCAACCCGCTGTCCTCCTGCAGCTCTCCTGCTGCTGCCTTCCGGAAAATCAGCAGGAACTGTGAGGGGAGACAGTGGTATCAGCTTCCTACAGACCCCAAAGCCTCCATGGTTCCTCCCCACCTTCTCTCCACCACAAACAGCGGCTGGGGACACCTCCCTGCCAGCGTGAAGCCCTTCAGCCCCCCTCACCCCTCACCTCTCGAAAGCTGAGCTTGCTGTCCAGGTCTTCATCCACCTCCTTGATCATGTTCTTCAAGCCCAGGTGTGTCTGTGGAGCCCCCAGCTTCTCCATCATCAGCTTCAGCTCCATCAGGTCAATGAAGCCGTCTTTCCCTGCGTCGTACCTGTGGGATGGAGGCAGAGCCCATGCAGCCCCCTGCAGTGACCCCCCCAGCACCAGACCCCCTGTGTGCACTCCCACTGGCCAGGGAATGAGGAGGGATCAGCAAGGACTTGGGCACTGATGATCTCCGGCAGCTTTCCAGACCACAGGGAAGCTGCCTCCGAACCGCTAACAACCCCCCGGAGCATTATCCAGGATCGTGTCTGTGCGGCACTTGGCAGGAGAACCTGCCGGGATGCTGCCAAACCTGCTGCCGGCTGCCTGTGCCAGGAGCCTGAGCACATGCTCCCCTTGGCTGCGACACAGGATAACAGGCCATGGGGCTAATCCCACTGGGCACTGCTCCCCCTGTCACCTCCTCCTCCTCCTCACTGTGACACCTCCAGGTGACCCATCCCCACTGCCCAGAGCCTCTGACATCCCATGCTCCAACATGGCCAGGTGCCTGGGCTTGGCCAAGAGCTCCAGATGCAGCTCTGCTCACCAATCCCGCCTCTGGACCCTCTCAGGAGCACCTGCTCTAGTGGAATGTGTCTCTGCCCATGGCAGGGGGACCTCCTTGGGGGGTCCCTCCTTAGACCCCTGCCTGTGGCCACACCACTGTCCCCTCCAGCCTCCCACCAACAGCCCCTCTGCCCGCTCCCTCTGTCCGTGCGTGTGGCACCATGGGCTGTGCCGTTGGCACACTGGCATGGCACAGTGGGATCCCAGTGGGGAGCCAGCACAGAGCCATGCTTGGTACAGCTCCACATGCCGTAGGTGGGCAGCTCCACGCTGCACTCGTCGTGACAGGGCTTTTTTTTGTGTGCCTTGTCGCTGCAGCAGCCACGCAGAGCCCCGGCTCCCCACGCCGCAGGTCCGTGACTCATCTGTACCTTCCCTGCTGCCATCTGCTCTGTCCGTGTCTCCAGCAGGGCCTTCCTGATCTCCCAAGCTGACAGGGACCCCAAAACACAGCTGGTCCTGCTCTGGCCATGCTCACCTCTGCCTGCTGCTGCCGTCACCCTGGGAGTGGGGCTGTGGGCTCAGACCTCACATGGTTTCTGCCTCCAAGACCCCTCTTGGAGCATAGAATCATAGAGTCATGGAATGGGGTTGCAAAGGACCTTAAAGACCATCCAGTTCCACCCTCTGCCATAGTTGCTCCTTCCACTATCCAAAGTCGCTTCAACCTGGCCTTGGACACTTCCAGGGATGGGGCAGCCACAGCTTCTCTGGGCAACCTGTGCCAGGGCCTCACCACCCTTAAGGGAAAAATGTGTTCCTAATATGCAATCTAACCCTGCCCTCTGTCAGTTTGAAGCCATTGCCATTCCCCCTTGTCCTGTCACTCCATGCCCTTGTCCAAAGTCTCTCTCCATCCCACATCCCACATCCCACAGAGTTTCTCTGCAAGGGGCGAGTTGCCCAGCCTGGCTCTATGGCACTGACCCATGGAAGCCATCCCCCAGCTGCAGGGCACTTCCTTGCTCTCAATCCCCTCCTCCCTGTTTTTTGGGGATGCCAGCATCCCTCAGCATCGCCCAAAGGGCACCATCTCCCCTGTGGCGAGGAAAAAACCCTTCTACACATCACTTTTTCCTCTACACAGCCGGATTGCCACATCCCTAGGACAGCAGCAGCAGCAGCGAGGTCAGCGTGACACGGCTCTGCTCCAGAGCATCCTTCCCTTGGGTGACCCCCCCCCCCCCCCTCCCCCGGCTCCCAAACCTCCCCGGCGCTGCTCCTTTCGCTGCAGCGAGACGCCGCAGCTGTCAGAGCAAACACGTCTGCTCCGCACACCCGCTCCGCCGCCCGCGCGGCGCCGACACCCGCACCGCCATCTGCGCCGCGGCCGGAGCACCCCCGGCACGGCCACCCATCGCCTCCGGCACCGGGAGCCGCAGCTGCGGCCCCCCTCCCGGGACCCCGAGCTGTGCCCCCGCGCCGCAGGCTCCCTTCTGCTGCAGTCCCAGGAGATGGTCGCAGCAAACCCGCGCGTCTGGCTCGCTGCCATGTCCGGGCGGTGGGTTACAGCCCCCTCTGGGAGCAGGGAGACTCCCTGCACTTCCAGGGGTGATGACAGGGTGTGCGTGCACCCTTACACAGCCCCCCAACCTTGGGTTTCGAGGGTCGCTGCCTCCATCCTTTCCGCTTCCTCCATCCCCCCGGTCATGCCCGAGCGAGACCACCCGGGACGCTGACGCAGATCCCCCCCGGTGCCAGATGGGATGGGGGGTATTGGCACGCCGCAAATATGTCTTCGCCTGCACCATCTCCATGCTTCCCGGAGTCCCACTGCCTCCACGCCTCCCGCACAAAGCACCCAACGTGCGCTCCATGGGGATGCTCCGGGCCGTCCCGCTCGCCCCTGCCTACTCCCGCGCATTCCCAGCAGGACCGCGGGATGCAGCCACCCCGATTTCTGGCTCCCCATGGAAATTTCCAGGGTTCGAGGTTTGCCGCCAGCTTCCCCCCCCCCTCGTCCTCAGGGGCCGGGGGCCGAGCTCGTGCTCGGAGTCACGCTCCGCCACGCGTGGTGGCACGCAGCGGGCAGGGATGCTGGGGACACGCCAGCCTGGCAGCTGCGGTCCCGGGGGCGCCAGGGAGGGCGGGAGGTCCCTCAGTGCTCCAGCAGAGGGAATGCGGGGGTCCCTGGTCCCATCTTCCAGCCCCCCTTCTCTGGCCTCAGACCACCATGGGGGACGGGAGGCCCCTCTTGCAAGAATTAAAAGGTGCGCAGGAATGTCTCCTGCCAGGAGCTGGGGGAAGGCGTCCCCGCCATCAGTCCTGTGAGGGGCTTGGGAGAAGAGGGGTGTCCCTGGCATCCCTCCTGAGAGAGGCAGAAAGGGGGGCTGTCCTGCAAGGAATTGGGGGTGCCCCGGCATCCCTCCTGCACAGAGCTGGGGCTGGGGGAGCCTCCTGCACAGAGCCGGGGGATCCCTCCTGCAGAGTTGGAGAGGCATGGAGGCACCTCTCGCAAGGGATGGGGGTTTCCGTCCCGCAAAGGATGGGGGGGTCCCGCCCGCAGGCACGGGGCGGGAGGCGCTGGGGCATCTGCCCTGCCAGAAGCCGGGATGCCGGGGATGCAAGAGCACGGATGCCGAGGATGCAAGAGCAGGGATGCCGGGATGCCGGAGGTGCGGGATGCCGGGGGTCTCCCGTCCGCCCCGGCGCTGCCACCCGGGGAACTCCCCCCTCCCAGTCCCCCGCACTCACTGTCGGAAGAGCCGCTCCATGTCGCGGAGCTGCCGCCGGGAGAACTCGCGGAACTCCCCGGCGGGGCTGAAGACGCGGCGGCCGC